ATGTGTAACCATCCACAGAAGTCATCGAGTTGCACGGTGGTGGCCAAATATTATGGGATGAGCCGTCTTTTGTCTTTTTTATATTCTTGGTTTTCGTATGGATTCGGCGTCGTATTTATACGGCCAGTTGGTCCGTAGTATGAAAAACCTGCTACACACAGCTACAACCGGGTCATTTATATACGTATCCTACTTAATACTCACGTACATCTATCATGTCCGACAGCAGCTAGCTTCTAACTGGCATCTTCGCTGGGATAGAAAGCAAATCTTGATTAAGTACTTTAGTTTTGGCCCGGAGTGTGCGATGCATTTCTGCCGATGAGGAAAGGACGTGTCGGGGCGCACCTGGCAGGACGTGAACGGTACATCCAGTATTACAAACAACAAATCCCAAACAAAGTAGCTGCCAAATAGGTCAGCGATCGCCTCATACACTCGATGGCAGTTTGGCTTTTTAGGCTAGCACGAAGAATACGTAAGTGTAACATTTACCATTATCGACTGACACCTATTCAACAGATACTATGCACTGCAAATTCATGCAACATCGAGAGTCCGGAGAAGATTGTACCGAAGTGTCCTGAGGTTGGATCAGCTAGTTGTTTTTCTGCTCACGCTTTGATCGGAGAATGTAGATAAATGATAATCGTCATGTCCATAAACACTTGACACTTCCAATACACCTTCTCCGTGCTCTCCACCTATACGCTTCCTGATACGATAACTAATCTGCTGACGTCTCAAAACATGTTAGTGGACAGGAGAGGCATTATATCCACGTCGGTGCATATCATGGAAACATGAGGGGAGAGAACTCTTCTTCACCTGTTCCTTGATTTTTTCAGTTTCCAAGCGCCGAGGTACCCGATCTCGGGCCATCAGAAAAAAATCCTCCGCTTTCGTGCCTGGTGAGGCCTTAAGTATTGGCCACTCAACTAGTAAGCTTTGCTTTTGGCGAATAGGTACTCGAGTCCGAAGACCATCCAGCTATGTTGGCATACATGAAAAGGATTCTTGTAGGTAGCTCTTTACAAATCAAACCTGTTGCTCCTGAGCAAGAATACGAATAGGTCACGAGGGGTACACAGGCAATTTGGTCAGTACGCGCAGCCCGTTTGTAGCCCATGAGGCACAGCATGCTATGAACAAACCTCTTCACCTTTTCTGGCGATTGCGATGCATCTTGTCAGAGAAGTGGGCAGAAACCCGTGCTTTACCGTAAGTCTTCTGAAAAGAGGAGAAGAGCGTACACGCTAGTGAGTTCGTTCATAGGTTCGGTGATGTGCGCCCTTTCAGCGAGCCGTGATTAAAAAGGGTTCACTACGTCCAGGATCGGGGCGGTGGTTTTGTAGAATCTTCATATGTTGGATTAGCCTTCTTCGCACGAAATACGCGTGTGAGGTCTGTTTTACACCAGTCGATAGTCGCGTCACTCCATTCGATCACTGAGGTAACTGCTGTAGGATGTCGTGTTGTCTCCATCGGATACCAGCCATCCGTTTAAATGTATGTGCACCACAAAAACAAAACAGACACCTATCGATACACAAAATTGAGCACTGTCGAAAGCAACGGCGTGTACACCACCCGCTTTCTATCAGATTACTTTGGAAAGACATACGGCAGTATAGCAGTATTTTAAATTACGCTTTTTAAAAGAAAATAAGTGAAAAAGAAGACATGTCGAAGATAGCAGCTCAAGATCTTCAACACACCCCAACTGCGCATGTTCCTTTGACGTTGCCAACTCTGTCCAGGACAACATCATCAGATTACTGTGAATTTCTACCGTTGAGCTACACTGCTGGAGAGCACGTGCGTGTTCACACGCGTGAACATCTTTATTGTGATAAAAAGTCATTTGTCTCGCAAGAAGAAATGTAGCACTAAATTGTTGCGATATTGTGCTATTTGTTCGCCACATCAATTTTAAATCCGGTAAACTTAAGTGTTGATTTGCTGAGAATAGCTACTAGCTAACACGACAACAGCTCGGTAGAACGGGTGACTCTGTAACAATATACTATTTTTGCTCTTCATTGTTGGTAATAACCTGCGTAATGATCAATTAATATTGTTGACATTGTTTGTGAGAGTAATGCCACAGAGATATTATGGTAAGGTAACATTGTATTTACAGAACGTTAAAAGGTTTCAGCTCATGGGTTGCTGTATGCCATTCGAAATGGCTAAACCCCCGATCGCCGCTAGACGCGCGCAACGGGTGGTATGCGAATGGTCTCTATGGATATCGAAAGTTTAGTATGTGTAAGTTTTGGTTAAAGACATAGATTGATTATGGCTTAGTTATAAGTATAAAGAAACCGTTAATAGCCCACCAGGGTTCGTATAATACCCACCTCAATCTCTAAATTGCCTGTATAATTGAGATTTCTGGAACCTTCTGATTTGTCGGATTTAACAAATGGGTCCATTTCTCAAAAGCAGCTTTTAACCTCGTACCCGAAAGATTACAGTACCTTAATCTGAGCATTTTGACACAATACGTCTGACAATACTTCGATTATTTTATTCCATATTATCCATTTTTGTCATTGTGGGCCATGCCATTCTAAGTTTATCAAATTTTGTTATGTTTTTCTACGTTTTCAAGTACTCCTACAAAAGAAATTACGAGAATGTTCTCAAGGTGCTGGTTGACTGAAACGGGGCACTGATTACTTCGTCTTGACAGTATAAATTGACCTACACTGACGTATTAAAAGTAGTGCCGCGCGTCACTTCACCTACACGGTACGTGCAGAGGAAGACTATCTATTCATCGTCTGTTAGAGGTTTACAGTACGACTGTAACTAATAAAATTAAGTCCTGATCATTATCTTGTGTTTAGTCCTACCTTAATTATGCCTTTCTCGAGCAATGTATATTAAAATCTTGCTTACCACTCTTTGCGCGCGTCCATAACTAATTAGGCCGCTGGAGTTGGCTGATATGATGGTACATATTAGCCAATACGTAAACGTTTTTAAATACTACCCTATATGGTAATATTTATAAACATCATCAACAATTATGATAATCGTCTGATTAGCAAGTATTGGGTATTGATTAAATTTAGCGGGCTCACCCCGTTACAAATATGATGCACTAAGATTTATGGCAGGCTTAAATGAACATTATAAATATTAAATCCTGCGAGGATCAAGCGCGACCTCAGCATGCCCGAACAGCGGTGGATCGAACTTTCTTTCTCCAGTCATCATGTGATAAGGCACCGGGAGATTTTTCATGCCTCTTTATCCGCTCAGGATCACGTATGTTGTATCTGACACAAGAAAGTTGTCAAGGATCTCACTGGATTTGGCTTTTCGCCCTAATAGTACCATACATGTTTAATATGACGCTCCAACTTTTGTGCTGCTTGCCCAGCTAAAGGACAATTAGTGTTACATATAATTTACAGGTTGCCTTTTATATCTAACATCTGGTTGATTGCTTTGGCGCGTCGTATGTGGCATCCAGAGCTCGTTAGATTCTCAACGGCGAATCGGGTGTCGAGATACGTGGTGACGGCACGGACATGTATATATCCTTAGCGTGTAATGGTGAGAAAGCCGATACAATCTTCTACAAGCTTGGCATATAACTTCAATTAATATCCTGAAAGCCTCAGTATTTGACTTTAGACATGATTGATTGTTACATATATTAAAAGGGTGGGTGGCTAACGAATACCTGGTGGGTGTTCACAGCTCTTCATTACCAATAGTTTTACTCTACCCTAATAGCTAATCAATCGCTTGCTACAATTATTTGCTCTACTGTGTACGTAATAATTTAGAGCATATACACATGCATTGTCTTCAGTGCAGGGCATTTCCAGTTGTCTGGTATGAGTATGTTACGTTACATTCAGGGTACTCGTTGTGCAGCATGGAGATGTGCGCGTGTATGTCCAGCGATCACATTCGTTATAGGGAACCCTGCGCACACTCTTAGTATTGAACAACAGGCGGGCTCACGTGTTCGTTCATGGTAGTCGAGTAAAATATGTCTGTAGCGCTGTGATAAAAGTAATCTGTAATTGTCTTTAGTGTTATCGTTTCTCGCTACCATGATGGACTAGTTGTTCTTGTTCTCCATCAATCCCATCCACTCAATCAACCATCCACTATGCTGTTCACACAATCACTCATCTTCCTACATCTTAGTAAATCGTCAGCCGCTAATTTAATCGTTACATCAAATGTTACGGGTAGCTATGCCGTTTTCGAACATTCTTCCTCGGCTACGACTTACCATTCAAACCGAGGTGTTTCAAAGTGCGCATCATCGCCAGCTTGTGCGGGTCAAGTGCCTTCGTGAGCAGATCAGCGAGCTTTCTCTCCGATCTCACATACTGCGCTCGCAAGATCCCGCGCCCGATCAAATTCGAAGACAAACTTGACTCGCACGTCAATGTGCTTTGCCTTGTGTAGCGGAGCTACACAGCTCTTTAAGTCAGAGGAAGACTTATTCAACAAGCCAACGTCTTGCACTGACAGCCTTTTAGTTCTACGGAATTTACTTATCAAGTTAAAGAGTCACCCAGTTCTACGGAACTCGGGTGGACTCTACGAGCTAACAGCTCAGCTACTGTAGTTCTAAGGAATTACACGCACGATGTGCGAAAGGGTAATAGCGGAGTCTAAAGACTCTCTAACCCACGACAGCTCTAAAAAAACTGTCAAACGCAAGGTGCGAAAGGGGGGAGTCTAGGGACTTCTGCTCAAAATGAAAACTGAACTTTATTTAGATTTTATATCAAGGAAAATCCTACTTTATGTACCCTATATTATCCTGAATACAGATATTAGTATTCGAACTAAATGGATGGTTGCCACATCACTCAGTCATCAAATGATGACGGTACATGGTACGTACACGGTAAGTACCGTAAACCTGGGATTATCGATCAATCGTTATTCTCTTGCTGTTATAAACTCTAAGTTCACACACATTCATCCATATCATTTATGGGAGGTCTTTGACCAATTCAGCCAAAGGCTAGTGTGACCCCGTTACACCCTTCCCCACCAGGACTGACGTTACTACAAACGTCACTCGACTCATTCTCCCATTGAGACTTGTTACAAAGTAACGCACCCACATGGACCGAGCTGGACACCTCCTGAAAGATAAGGCTCGAGCCGAATTCCTTGGTGTCGAGGACGTGGACTTTGACAGTGGTAGCAATACCAAAGTCGAGGGGGAGGAGTAATCCAAAACCCAGCACACCTGTGCGTGGGGACATTCCCCATCCGACACCTAATCCGTTCCCCGAACGTAGTGCCGCGACTGCGCTAACAGCCCTGGGATTAATGTCCCCCATGGATACATCCATAATCACTAACCCGCTTGACGAGGAGCAACAATGCATGCTCGATCAATCGGCAAGCGCACGGCGCAAGTCAGAAGTTCAGACAACGTTGCAACGACATAGTCAATATACGTCCACTCCACCTGGCGTGGAAAAGCTCATTCGTCAAGCGTCACGTAATACGTTGGCGACATGGGCCACCGGCCCCAAGGCGAAAACGCCCACTGACTTGAATGTCTCAAGGCTCTTCGAGAGATCTACTTGGAACCTACTGTGATGACTTTGTGTCAATACAGATAACGGCTGCAAAAGCAGGCCCAAGGAACACCAGTCCCACAAATTAGGGGTGTACCTATCATAATGTCCGAAGATGGAAACGAAACTGCGGAGGACGATACGTTCATCCGCTGGGTGCATGGCTTTCGACGCCTCAGTAGCATGCACGCGCTACGCGAAAGTGCCAGTGTGGCAGACTTTCGTCTAGAGCAAAAGCTTCACTATGACTTCGCGAAGTTAAAGGCCAGAGGCCGTCTGCGGGGAGTATTACGCTCCCGCTATGCTTCGGCTGCCTCTGCAGCCGCAATTCACGAAAATCTTTCGACACGAACTCGCCCGCTCTCACTACGACGAGTGAGAAGCGTAACGCTCGTCAAGACGAGCTCGGCCGTGGCGCTCAAAAACGTCAACGGCGTATGGGCAGTCTTGCCGGAGGGGGGTCTTATACTCCCATGAGTTTTCAGACTCAGGGTATCCACGCCACTTCACCAGATATTGGTAGTGATCATGGCGACGACTTCGTTGAAGTACCCACTTCACATAGAACTGTAAGTACCCTTGCTTATAAAGCAACGCCGGTGGCGGTCGGAGTATCGGCTGAACACCATGCTAAGTTGGTGAGAAAGCAGAGGATCTCCGTGAGACGTCGGGACAAACTCAGAACGCCCTGGGCGAAGCCCGATCTCGTCTGGCGGCGTTGGAAGGCGATCGCGCCCGTCTTCAGATGATGGACTCACGTCATACTCATGTAGAGGCTCAACTTGTCCTCTTAATTTGGATTCAACATCCTGTGGCAACGCCAATGTACTCGGCGCAAGCGCCTTCAGGTCAACATGGGACGGGTCCCGGTATGGCTTAAGCAGGCCGACATAAAAGACGGGATGTGTACGCAATTTGCGCGGCAAGTTGAGCGTATACGCAAAACCCTTCTTGGTTATGACCATAAAAGGTCCAATAAAGCGTGGACGCAACTTTGTTTTAAAAACAGCTGGCACTACATTTGTAGAGAGACCTTAAGCGTTTAGCAAGATTTAGTCTCCGACCTCATAACTTTCAATACGATTTCTGCCTTTGGCATCTACTTGTTCCTTTTGTTTGTCTTGGCTATCAGCCATTGCATCTCGCACATGTCGTAAGACATTCAACCTTGTTGCAAGGAACTCACCAACCTGTTTCTGAACAGTGGCAGGGCTGACATCAGCAAGCCGATCGGCAATCCCTCTTCCACCAAGCCCGGAACCACGGAGTGGTATTGTCAATGGGACGCGTGGATGGGTGAGGCCGTTCAAATAGAACGGGGTGTAGCCATTCGAGGCATGGACCGAATTGTTCATGGCAAAATCGACATAGGAAGCTTAGAGCACCAACGCCTAGGCGTATCTGCGCAAACGCTGCGCAAGATGTCACCAATGACACGGTTGACACGCTCAGTCTGACCATCGGTCTGCGGATGATCCGCCGTGGACATGTCCAGTCGAGTGCCGAGCACTTTGAAGACGGACGTCCAAAATTTATTCGTAAAGCGAATATCGCAATCTGAAACAGTTGTTAAAGGCAAGCAGTGTTGTCGAAACACACGATCCATGAACAGCTTTGCTGTTCCTTCTCCATCAATGGAGTCCGGCACTGCCGCTAAATGAGCCATCTTGCTCAATCGGTCAACAAAGACCACAATACCAGTGTTGCCGGCCAAATCTGTTGGCAAACCAAACACAAAGTCCATGCTGATGACTTCCCAACAACCCGAGGGTACAGGCAAACTCGCCAAAGGCGCAGCCATATTAGGCGAGGGTTTCACCCTTTGACACGTTTCACACGTGCGTACATATGTACCAACCATTTATACAACTTGGGCCACCAATAGTGCTGGCTGACCGAGCCATAGGTCTTCGCTCGACCGAGATGACCGGTTAAAGCTGGATCATGCGCCTCAAAGAGGATACGGTACTTCAATTTATCATCATGAGGTACTACGATGCGCGGAGTATCCGCCGCATACTCCATGATCGAACGAATATCGATGTATCCCTGCACGCAAGCGTGCCGACAATTTAATGTCCGAGGTTTTAATCTCATCACAACCGAGTGCGCTTAACAACGCGACACACTGATTATCCTTGGCATAAGCCGCACGGATTAAATTAGGGATAGAATACGACAGAGTCGTAACATGAGCAAGCTCATACTCAGGTCTACGCGATAACGCGTCGGCCAAAACATTCTGTTTTCCCGGCTTATACTTCACCTCGAAGGTAAACTCAGCAAAGAATGAAAGCCAAAGGGCCATACGTTGCGAAAGATGATGCGACTGATCCGCAGAGCGCAACGACGCATGATCCGTGTAGATTACAAACGGCTTGGAGCCAAGTAGATGTACTCTGAACTTAACAAGAGCAGATTTTCATTGCAAGTAACTCTTTGTCATGAACTGGATAGTTCTTTTTAGGAACTTTTAGCTGGCGAGACTCATACGCAATGAAGCGCTCATGTTCATCGACATCACTTTGCAACAATGCACTACCAATGGCAGAATCAGATGCGTCACAGACGACAGTAAAAGGTCGCTCCGGGTTAGGCAAAGCCAAAATTGGAGCATATAGGAGACTCTCATTAACAGCTTGAAAAGCTTGAGCCTGAACCGATTCCCAACACCAAACCGCGTCCTTTTTAAGGAGGTTGGTTAATGACCTTGCCATGTCAGCATAGTTTGCACTATACTTGTGTTAGTAATTGGCTAAACCAAGCCATTTACGCAAGTCTTTTGGGTTAGACGGAACCGGCCAATCCACAATGGCTTTGACCTTAGCGGGATCTGCATGTAGGCCGCGCTTTCCAATGGAGTACTCTAGAAAACGGATTTCTTCAACACCAAAAATGCATATAGATGCATTTGCATACAACTTGTTAGTGCGCATGCATCCGAGCACTGCTCGTAAATAATTTATGTGGTTGTCCACATCTGAACTACCATTGTCTGCACGGCTACGGATAAAGATGTCATCAAAATTGCTTTGTGCATATCCTCTATGATGGCGGAACGACTGCGTCACGAGACGATTAAAAATTGCGGGAGCATTCGAAAGTCCCTGAGGCATAACAAGCCACTCCCAAAGCATGCCACCCGGCGTGCTAACCGCTGTAAGCGGGATATCACTAGCTCGCATGAGCAGTTGGTAATTTCCATCGACTAAGTCGAGTGCGCTAAACATGGTGCAACCCACCCAAGTGTTCTGAAAAACATCCTTGTTAGGAATAGGTGTCTGGCAGGTATAGTGTTCGTATTGAGCTTATTGTAAGCATGCACTATCCGCCACTTTCCATAAGGCTTTCTGACACAAAATGTCGGTGTCGAGTGTGAAAATTTGCTCTCCCGCACCATGCCTGCCGCGTGCTTTGCACGAAAAAACTCATCAATGAAGTCACACTGTTCCTTAGGCAATGGCCATTGACGTGTAACGCAAAATTTGGTCCCAGGGACCAGGTCAATTTCATGACGGTCGGGAGGTAGAGTGGATAGTGGATCGTGACACACCACGTCCTGAAATCCATTTACTAAAGGATAGAAGGGATCTGAAGAATCCTCCAAATTGCAGATCCACTGCGAGCACTGATTGCAACTTTGATGTCCTCAAGGACTGTCTCATCTACAAGGGATGACGAGTTCGAGTCAAGATCAGGTCTAAGGACCACCATATCGGATAGAGCACCAGCCTTTAAAGCTTGATGAAATTCGTCTACGGACATTTCGTCTAGCTCTAGCAGAGCGTTAATCAGTGGGAGGGCCTCGAGGCCAACTTCTTCATCAATCGCACCCGACACCGCATTGACTAACGTGTACAACTGTTCACCAGTGTCGTTCTGGGTCATGGCAGAAGCCTTTCTTTTCACAGCCGGCATCTGGTGTCGCTGTCGTCTCTGTGCAGAGACTGAACACTTCAACGTGTTAGGAACATCCGTTTCCACGAGGTGAAGACTATCTTCAACCTCAAACTGCTCTCTCAAAAAGTCAATATCATTACCGACATTAAGTGTGGTGCCCTTACGACCAACCTCACTCTGTGGACAGTTGTCCACTACACTCTCATCTATTGAGCATAGCTCTTGATGCCTTGGCACATCGCAAACAGTGTCATTACCGACATTTAGTGGGGTGCCATCACGGCTGACCTCACTCTGTGGATGTTTACGTGCCACTTTACGTGCATCACAGGGATCACACATAGGATGACTCGGCCTTAAGCCATCAATGCTTCCAGCACATAGTGATTCACTGTCACTACTAGTGTCACTCAACGGTATATTTTCCGTTTCACTATTGTCAATGGCATCAGATTTAGCTAGCATAGACACTCCAACGTCAAGCACACTGTCAGACTCCGTCAGTGGCGCGCGCCAATAGCGCTTTTGTTGCCTAGCAAAGTTGGGTTCATGACTCTCCAAAGCTTCCCTTGGAACGTTACGCGTTGCTTTTTGGTTTTCAACCTCCAATCAACCCATCGCCCATGGCGTTCAAGCCAAGCCATGCCAAGGATAAGATCATATCTCGAGTCCAAAATCAGGACAAGACAACGTTCGATACTATCGAAATCTAAAAATTACACACCTAAGTTCAACGGAACTATAGGTACGGTGACGCGAGTACCTGTCGCTAATCGAACTGTGATAACATCACCCTCATGCACTTTCAGCGCCTCAGCCTATTTTTGACATCCCTCTAGGGACTGGCGTCGAGCATAGTTGCCTGACGCTCTGGAGTCAATTAGTTTGTGACCACAGCTCTTGAAATACCTTAATTGTAGCCGAGGCCAATAACAAGCCTGACTTATACTCATGTCTCGTGAAAGCTTCCACAAGATCGTCTGGGGCTAAGCTCTGTCTATCTTTACCACCTAAAGATTCGGCAGAACCTAGTTCCTCCCCAGAAGGGCACCCCGCGCCTACTGGGAGGTGCCGTTTTCCCGCTCCGTAATTACTTTGGGGTTAGGAGGCGGACGCGGCTCAGCCGACTTTGACGCGGCTTCCGCAGTGGGCACTGAGGGCGCAATTGCCTGGTGCTCCCGCACATCTAACATCTACGGACGTCACGTTGCTGTTCAACAGCCAGAAGATCTCTCTCTTCTTCTTCAGCACGGATGAGGTCCATGGGCTCAGCCCCATCAAATGATCTTTAAGCATGCCCATGAGTGCCATAGCGAGCGGCTTTTAGGTTGAACTTAGCATTCAACGCTTTGTATACAGCCTCCTCGAACGTTAAGTGATGGACGCGGAAGACTTCAGTCCTCGCGATCCCCGTAAGAAGGCCCTCCATGAAAATGGTGACACGGACTTGCTCTGGAAGAGGGTCCAGCTGCATAGCAGCTATGAGAGTTTGCAACTCTTGGACAAAGTCCGATAATTCTCTCTTTCCCTGCCTGGTCGCTAGGAATCGGGAGCGAACACGATACGCTTGATTCGGTGGTGCAAACACCCGAAACATATCTCGTTTAAGCAAATTCCATGTGGGAAACGCAGCGCTAAACGACGTATCACAGGTAAGATCCCATTCTTTGGCTCTACAATCGAGCTTAGAAATGGCTAGGCCAACTTTCTGTCGCTCCGATTAAAATAAGGCGACTTCAAAAGCCATTTCAATTTCTCGGATCCAGAGGAGGAGACTTGTTCTCTTTCCCCCCTCGAAAGTCTTAACGCTAAGAGTGAGCGGACGATTCTTTGACCTACTGTTGGGTACTGGAAAGTACCGTGTACGTACGGCTGAGGCTAAATGGTCGTGGACCTGCCCTATCAGCGTGGCCTCAAAGTGCATAAATGCATCAAGACGTGCATTAAGCACTTCTGGGCCATGGGCCACGACGTGGTCGACCTGCTCGACCCCTATCAACGATCTAAGCTTATTAAGCGCGATGCGTCGAGCCCCAGAGAGGTAGTCAAGGCCTTCCATCTCTCACGGAGGATAAGTCGAAACGACTCAGGTATAGGATGACTACAAGTGTTACCAAGTGTAGCGGAGCTACACAGCTCTTTAAGTCAGAGGAAGACTTATTCAACAAGCCAACGTCTTGCACTGACAGCCTTTTAGTTCTACGGAGTTAATATATCAAGTTAAAGAGTCACCCAGTTCTACGGAACTCGGGTGGACTCTACGAGCTAACAGCTCAGCTACTGTAGTTCTAAGGAACTACACGCACGATGTGCGAAAGGGTAATAGCGGAGTCTAAAGACTCTCTAACCCACGACAGCTCTAAAAAAACTGTCAAACGCAAGGTGCGAAAGGGGGGGAGTCTAGGGACTTCTGCTCAAAATGAAAACTGAACTTTATTTAGATTTTATATCAAGGAAAATCCTACTTTGTGTACCCTATATTATCCTGAATACAAATATCAGTATTCGAGCTAAATGGATGGTTGCCACATCACTCAGTCATCAAATGATGACGGTACAAAGTACGTACACGGTAAGTACCGTAAACCTGGGAATATCGATCAATCGTTATTATCTTGCTGTTATAAACTCTAAGGTCACACAGATTCATCCATATCATTTATGGGAGGTCTTTGACCAATTCAGCCAAAGGCTAGTGTGACCCCGTTATACCTTGAGTGGCGAGGCCTTACCCTCGAGCTGTCGAATTGCCGCTTGGTTGTCGACTTGCTTTAACATCGGTAGCGCTGGCGCCATTCCGATCTCGCAGAGCATCTCGCGCACGCCACGCAGCTCACTAGCGATCTCTTACGCCGCCACGAGCTCGGCTTTCATTGTCGAGAGGGACTTGCCACCTTGTTTCTTGGTGCTCCAGCTGATCGCCATGCCGTTAAGAAGGTAAATGCCGCTGGTCAACGGCTTTCTGTCGCTTTCATCTGCGGCAAAGCCAGTGTCGCTAATACTTCGAGCTTGGAAGACGCGCACCCGACGTCTCTTGGATTCATGTTCATCTTCATTGTCTTGTCCTTTTAAGGTTGCGAGTCACACGCTTCGCGGGTCTCCAATCGTGAAGCTGTGGTTGGCGTGTCTGCCGCGTCGTCTTGTGGACGGCGAATGCAATGTCGGGTCTCGTACACCGCGAGACCCATGGCAGATATCCGACGAGCGACTAAAATTCTCTGATTACAGGCGCTCCATTCGTGCTTTTGGCCTCGAGTTGCACGCTGTCGATAGACTGCACTTCATAGCAGTTTGCGTCCGTGAGGCTTTGTTCTTGCAGCAAGTAGCTGATCACCTCCTCCTGATCCAGAACGCAGCCGCCTTCACCATCTAGCGCCCAGCTCATACCGAGAAACTTACTCACACGGCCAAGGTCCTTGATCGACAGGCTCGCGAGGATGGCAAAAAAAAACGACCGACTGCAGCTGCTTTGGTGCCATTTGCAAGCGTTTCGTCGACGTATCCGCCCACCACGACGGTGTCCTTTCCATCACATTTCTAGTAGAGGCACACGTCTGCCACACACTGTGTAAATTCCGCGCTGCATAGCTTCTCACTCAGGAGCTAGCTCTAGTGTCGTCCGGCTTGCTTAAGGCCGCACAAACTTTTGCGAAGATTTAGTGCCAGTTCCTTATGACTTGAAGCACCTAGCTTATTCAGTGTTGCCTTGTCGACTTCCATGGCTTGCGGTACCTGTTGCATTATCTCGAGGTTTGATTCCTTGTCCGCCTTCACACACGCATTCGGTATGTCACCGTGTTTAGCGGGTATGCCCCACGTCGCCGGCAGAGCCAAAAGCACCTTCACCATGGACATGTCCATGACTGCCGCGAAGGTGAGCTGGTAGTCAATGCCAAAGACCTGCTCCTTTTTACACGCGCCAAGTCGAGCCTTGAGTCGCTCGAAGTCGTTGTGCGCGACGGTATTCGTCTTGTATGCCCACTTGGTGTGTAGCCTGTTGCTACTGGATGGACGCTTGATCAAGCGCCACAAGCCGTTGTCTTCGAGCGCATCGAGCTCTTCAAGCATAGATTTCTCCCAGCCTTTACGTTTGCTGCTGCGTATCGCTTCTAAATTACTGTTGGGGTTGCGCTTATGCACGTGAGCCACCACACTTTCGTTACGTGCTGGCTCCTCCTGAACTCTGGATGCCTGCGAACCGTAACGGGGTGAATCGTTACATAACAATTTATAAGAAATTGTTACTAGAATATAACTATAAGAGTTATATTCTCAGAATATTGTCATAAGGACACATATTCTGTAGCACTTACGAGTAGTTCCTAATTGGTTGATACAGGCCATTATATCAACCAACGAAGACGCGCCACGACAGACGCGCGCAATGAGTGGTGATCAGATAGTTGATATGCACATTTGTATTCAGACATAGTTAAATGAGGATAAATAGTGATTTATTGCAGACATTAACTATACTAAATACAGTTCTACTTCTTACTTTAACCAAGTACTCGCTTCTCCTTACCGTCTTCCTCTGCACGTACCAGTGTTCGTGAAGTTCCGAGGCACCACCTTATTTTGTCGTCAGAATAAGTAGCTTGCACTGTTACCATTACAAGCTTCAGGGTGCCCCGTTACACAAACGCTTCGCCGCGTTGCGCGTTCTGTGTGCAGCACGCGTCCATGACTTCGAAATCTCTTTTCCACTTCGGATGTTCAAAGACGAAACTGGGTCTGCCGGCGTCTGGGTCGCCGTTGCTATTGCTGTCGCTGTCGCATCTGCTAGATCCTCGTAGTCGGGCGCTATCTGTAACTGATTGTTCTGCGCCTCGCTGAGCGTCCTAATATCCTTCACGTGCTGTGTGACCGTGACCTTGGATTTCCTTGTGAAGGAACACTCTGTAGCACTTGGTTTCATCGCTACGTCCGATAATAATAACGACTTCCGATCGCTTCGCCAGCGAGTTCTTGCATAGGTCGGGTAGACAGGGCAAACAGAGCCGAATGCTACTATGTCTCGCAATTCAGACGTGAGCTTTGTCAGCACTTCCAATGGTGACGATCGCTTTGCGTTCGCACTTGTTAGACTGTGGTCAAAAAATTATGCCGCGTATTCAACCGCGTCACCCCAAAACGACACGGGAGGCGACACGCATAATTGACCGTGCCCTGTTTAACACCGTTCGGTGCAGGTGCTCGGCTTTGCCGTTCGACGCCTGGTTGCGTGCCTTGCTGACCTGCCCTGCGACACCAGTCGACTTACAAAAGAGTTCTACATTCGCGTACTCGGCACGACCTTCCGCCCTTAGTACGTGGATGCGGCACTCAAACTGGCGCTCGAAGTATCCCAAGAAGTGTTCGAACTTCTGCGCAGCCTTGTCCTTTGTTGGAGCACGGAAGACGCGACAGTAATTGGGCTTATGGTTCACGAAATTGAGGGGGTACCGGTTTCCGAGCCGGTCCTTTGGGGTCATCGGACCCTTAAGGTCCGAACAAATAACGCCACGAAAGCGGTCAATAGGTGAGTTGGCACCCGTGTCCTTGCGCGACTATGCGGTCTTCGTCTGCTTGCCTTGGGCGCACAAAATGCACGTCGGCCTCGCACGATCCGTGTGTTAAATGCCGGAATATGGATCGCTTGCCATGCGCTCGACCTTGTCGTACGCCAAGCGACCGAGACGCTGGTGAAAGTAGTAGAGCGAGCCACTCTGGGCATCCACGGCTGGCACATCGGTCGAATTTTGAGTTAGCGTCGCCATCAGCACACCGCGTGGTGTCCCTGCGCGTGTCGGGGCCACTGTATCGACGTACGTGTTGTTTACAATCCAGATGTCGAACACGACTCTCCATTGCTGCATCTCGCAAGTGCGCGCTTCGTGCCGTCGTAGACGAGTCCGGAACCCTTGCGCTCAAGCTTGCTGTACGGCAGGAAATTTCTCGATAGATCCGGTGCGAGGTAAAAATTTGTCATCGTCACTAATCGCCCACGTCTTTCTGCTTCCGCAGTCAGTACAACGCTACCGAAGCGCGACAGTTTGATAAGTTCACCGTCAGCTGGGTGGCACTCGTGCTCGCAGTATCGCATACCTTGTAGTAGAGACGCGTTGTTGACGAAATGTCGGCTGTATTCACTGTTTGAATCCAGATCTCGCTTTCTTCGTTACGGTCACTGCTAATTGCCAGTGTCAGTTTACACTTGGCACGACGCTTGCCATGCTTTCTGATGCCTTCGCCAATCGTAAGCACAATGTTGCCGCCGCACTTATCGCGACGGCTGCTGTTACTGTCGTTAGTCCTCCTGCTACGACGGTCAGCTTTGACGTGTCCCATTTTGTCACATCCGTAGCAGGTACGCGTTTCCTTTTGCGGCGTGGACTCATTCACGTGTGCGACAACCTCCTTTTCGAAGCGTCTCGGTTAAGCTTTCATCTCTATTGCCTGCGCGAAAAATGTGCGAGCTCTTCGGCGTGCACTAGGTAGTCGACACGATGCGTTTCGTACTTTGCGATCAGATTCGTCGACAGGTCGGGCAATGCTTATCGCCCCATATTGTTAAGCACCTGCTGCTCGGTGCCACCAGCCGTATCGCTGACTGCGACTAGTTACATGGTAGTGCTCTTGCCACAAGCGCTTGCCTTTCTTCCTTGTCCTAAACAGCTTCTCGCTTGAGCTGCTGTGATTGTCGTCTCGAAAGTATCAAGCATGCGCTTCATCACGTACTGGAGAGTCGATAGCACGGCCCACCACGTGTCGACCTGCTTTCTTAAGAAGATCTCTGCTGTGCCGGTTAGGTACTTGCCAAGAACATCAGTCTTGACGTTCTCGGCCCACAGGAATCCGCACGACTCTTAAGCCATGTCGACTTGTCTTCAGAAAGTCTTGCCCCAGTTGAAGAAGCCGGGACCGAGTCCGACGTCCACTTCTGTACCATCGAACTTTCGATTCTTGAGCTTGCGCTGCCTCGCGTCGGGCGTCCGAAACGGGTTTAACAAGGTGATTGCATCGGCGCAGCTGGTGATTCCTGTCGATGTGGCAGAGGCAGAGGCTGATACGCTGGAATCTGGACAGGAGGCTGCTGTGATCGCTGCGCACACTGATGATCGACACACAAGCGCGCTTGGTGGCTTGGAAATTCCGAAAGGTCGAGAGCGTCATGGTAAAGCTGCCCGCGAAGTCCGCGCCAAGCATTGAGGTCAACATTCCTCTGTCCACTACTCCACCCATGCGCTCATCTTCAGCAAACCTTGCCTAAGACAGCTCCATTTTCTTCATGTGCTCGTCTATGCCAGCTAGCATCTTGAGAGCCTTTTGCAGCGCGTTAATTTCCGCGCTCCTTGCGTGAGCGTGCGAAGGTACGTCCACGGCAGGCTCCGATGCAGCCCTTGCGTGACTGGTAGTCGGCGGCGCCTGTGCCCTGTTGTTGCCGTCAGACGACCCGTTTGGGCTCAAAACATGATCATTTATGGTAGTCGAGTAAAACATGTCTGTAGCGCTGTGATAAAAGTAATTCGTTATTGTCTTTAGTGTCATCGTTTCTCGCTACCATGATGGACTAGTTGTTCTTGTTCTCCATCACTCCCATCCACTCAATCAACCATCCACTATGCTGTCCACTCAATCACTCATCTTCCTACATCTCTCTAAGTCATCAGCCGTTACTTCAACCGTTACGGGTGGCGATGCCATTTTCTATCATCACGAAAATTCATGTTTAAACTCGTGAGAGCCAAGCAACACTGGTAGTGAGATGATCTGACTCCTTTATTGATGCAGGTGCTGTCCATGCGCAAGTACGAGAAAAAAAGCTCCCAAAGGCGTAGGAGAAGAATCAACAAAGGTTTTACATGCAAGATTAAGGCTAATGAAAGCATAGCGTCGTTTCCGACACAAACAGCGCACCAAGGACGTAAAGGTGTAGGCCATTTACACGTCAAAAGGCCGCACAAGAGACGATAAAGACAGAATTATTAGTGAGAGGCTGTAGGAGCATGGTTTTGTCCAGGGACATGAAGGGAGATAATTTAAGAAAGTCGGTGTCTTTTTGACGGATTTAAAATCAAACAGTAGGACCTAAGTCCTGGTCAGGCTGTCAGTCAAATCGCCGAAGAAAAATGTAGAGCGGATGCGCCATCTAGTGCAGATCAAGTCCATACATCTATGACAGATGCGCGCTCAATCTTTTCTTAATAAGTAATTTTTTAGTGGAAGGTTAAGTCGGTTGTAGATAGATTAATGGAGATTTATGCGATGCATTTTTACAATTGGTACGATGATAAAATTGGAGGCGCAATCTCACTACAACATTATGTTTAATGAGGCGTACATTCGTGCGCTCCTTAAAAATCGAAGCTGTATCGCGAATAATGTGTACTTACAGTTGATTCTTTTGACGTGAAAGCTTTGAATTTAGTTTGACACGATGTACACTGGTTACGTACGAGTATACGCAGCAGAAATGCAGACAAAAGTTGGCCATAGCACCTAAAAGGTACCGCACAGACAAAACAATTGCAATTGTGTGCTGCACAAATATCATAGTGTTAGTGTCAATAAAACAAATAGTAGTCGGTCCAACTAAAAATTGGTAACCGGTCCTGTGATACTCTTATGGAGCACCAATAGTAGACGAATGCTTTATATTGCAATTGGGTCATCACTGCAACAAGCACGACAATGTCGGTCTGCAACTCACCTTTAAGGGCATAATGCTTATGACTTAGATGCATCATTACTGAAAAGGAGGGGATGTGCACATGATAAAGAGTGCTCCTCGAACGACTCTGACTACCACAGCAGCAATGACACACTTGTGCTGTAGTACACGACCCATAACCACACAGCGGCGAAAATGCATAAAACTCGCACGATGCAAAAATTCTGCTACATGAGTTCTTGCTTACTCATGATAAACCACCAATATATCCATGCTTACCTGAAACTCAATCGGTTCCCTTCAAAAATTTTGAGCCAAGGCTAAGTGTCCGCATTATATAAGAAAGAAGGGACTCGAATCTAAATGCACAAAACCACAGGACCAGCGAAGGAAATTTATGCTATTTTACGATTGAGTAAAGGAGATCAGCTGGAAGGATGGTGTCGGGAGAGCCATAAATTTCTTAAGCTTTTTTTAAGTATTTAGCCGAAAGACAATAAGCACACTAGTCATTTGTCTTTCATCAAATATGTTACAACAAGACCGGTGGTGTAGACGTAGTCACTCCTTGATTTTGGTACGAAGTTATGGCCGTCCTACCTGCTTCACGCCTCAGTGTAAAAAATTGATCCAAAGGTGGAATAGGCGTTAGACTTTACGCTGCTCAGGTCTTAATTTCGACACTGCTGGTGTCTGGCAAATATGAATCGCGAAACTTATTTAGAAATAGGCTTCCATTACTGCTACAAAAAACTTGTTTTCGTTTTTTATGTTCGGGCTCAACATGTATACACGATAATCGTTCCAGTGGATGGGTTAGATTAGTGATCTTAAAATTAAGCGGGCAGCATACTGAAGCCACTGATCGAGCTTGTGTTTTGTCATTCAAATTTCATAAGCTCCGGTGCTGATAGCCACATATTAAGCTGCTTTTTGGCCTCTGAATTTGTTAATATCAGTAATTTGTGCCAGCGCTATTTACGCTTTTGCATGACAATGAAGCCTCAAACTCAATTGATATTTTGTCCAGCTCAATGCTGTTTTGTGTTTCATCAGCAACTTTATGTCATCAGCATCCGTGTACAAGGTGACCATCGTGGATCACCTAATGGCAAAAAACTAGCCACTGGATACGATCTAAAGAGCGCCAAATAAACAGGTAGGTAATAAATTACCGTGATGTATTATCATGGCAGTGAACATCACAAGGTATCTATCATTAAATTTCACGCCTACTAGCAGATGCGTTGAACAGCCAGGGTTGTGCTTTATTCCACGGCAAGCACACCTTGTAAAGAGTTTGCAATTTTTCATAGTTTCAAACCTCTTGGCAAAAAGTTGTAGAAAATCCATGCATCTATTGAGTAAAAGAATACTTTCGGCTAAAAACTGCTTCGTTCTACGGAAATAAAGTCAATGATTACAGATTCGGCCTGTTCTTAGACCCTGAAGTCAGCTCTCAAATTATAAACAGCTCCAAGATACCTCATGCCCAAGGTGCTACGTAATAAGCCCGCAAGGGCTTTCAAGTCTTTTGCTTAAATGGTAAACGAGCGTTATTGTAATCTTTCTACGGCAATAAATCCAGTCCTCAGTATTATACACTAAGAGCCTGCTTAGAAGGGTTTTTGTGTAACGTTTCGACTATTACTCGAATTAAGGGAATATTCTTCAAAATTTGTACGTGAGCACCTTAAACAGCGACGCCTACCACCACCAACTACATCATAAGGTCTTTCTACATAATAGTCTTTATTTTCCTTGACAAAAAACTAGCTTGTCTGCAATTCGGAATGCTAAGACCGAACTAAGTTGTAAAAAGCTACACTGGATGTTAACATGGGTGTTAAAGTGCGGGTCAGTATTTGTAGTTAAATTAAATTCGAATTCATTTTTAGCTTTATTTCCTTGCGACAAATGCAACTAATTAGGTCGTTAAATTAGTTAAATGCTGCAAGATATATTTCATTCTATGGCTCAAATTTGACCCGATGCTTAGGTAAACTTCTTTGCCGTCGAAATAATCAAAACCAGCTTCAGGTCTCTAATCTTCAGAGGTCTCTGCAGCTATCTTTGCCTGTACATTTATATTCATTTCAGCTGCATAAGCGCCTCTTGCTTTTACTTTGAATTGACTGATTACTGATGTCTCTGTTCGTCGGCATAGGCTCGTGAATACTCGCGGTATTTGTAGATAATCGAAGCAAGGCCAAATGGCGGCCTAGTCCTGCTTGTTTCTCCTCATTAATGCTAAAGATGCCGATTCAGGCGGACAAAACAGTTGCTTGGTCATTCTTGAGCCGTTGAGCTCCGAACCTTGTTTGGCGGGCTCTAATACCCCTTTTTATCTCGGTCACTAGGTCAAGCAGCTTAGCCATGCCCTTAGAGAGCTAGAGGCTGTACGACTTTTAATGTCGTTGGCGTGGATCGTCTTTGTCGCTTGAACTTGGTCTTAGGTTGTAGTTCATTGAAGGTGGGCTCATAACATGTCCTATATCTGCAGTGATGGTAGATGTAATGGGGTAGCCCGTTACATGAAATTGACACCAAACGGTGCCAATAGTGATATTGTCTAGCATGACAATATTCTACCGATATTATTCGAGATAGATACTATTGAAGGAATAATATCCTTCTTTGATAATATTCATGCGCTGCTCCAAGATTGGTTGATATAAGACATATCAATCATAGATTGCCACCAATCGCTGCTAGACGCGCGCAATGAGTGGTGAGCAGGTTGTTGTCATACGACGACGTAGTATAATATAGTCAGATAAAGATTAAAGTCATATTGATAGCTTAACTATATTAAGTACAGTCCTCTTTTTTACCCTTTACTCAACCTAGTTGTTCTAGTAGATTAGCTTCCTCTACATGTACTAGTATTAGTGAAGATTCGCGGCACCCCAAACAAAGGGTGCCCCGTTACACATCTCAATTGCCTATTACCAATGAATATGCGGATGCAGCCTACAATTCTTGGCGTGTTCATTTGATCTCGGGAGACGGAATCAAACATTTTATAAAGTATTTGCTAATTTTATAATCAAAATTCTATGAAATAAGGCTGTACGCTTTCTGAGTGATCACGGTCTCACTAGACCAGATTAATTATTAATGGATTTTGATAGCGCCGTGGAATTGGACCTATGGGAGGTGTAGTAGGCGGAACTCATTTCACCATTCTAAAATAAGCTAGCGACACACTTCACAGTGCGCATTTTAACCGCAAAGGATATGCGTCTATCGCATTCCAAGCGGTCGTTCATGCGAGTGGGCTTTTTCTTCTAAAGCGTAAGCGTACAATTATCCTTAACCAATTTATTATCATTCCTACTAATTAAATATGTTTAGATCTCCTTTTTTGGTCTCTGAGTGTACGCGACATTCACTTACTGCGCAAGTCGTCAATAAATAAAAAGGTTGATGAGATTACTGATTCCTGCCGGCTACTTCCTCATTCGGCGACTCTCAGTACGTATTTTCAGACTGGATGATGGTGACATTCCTGCTTCTTTACTTCATGGGCCGTACG